CATTTAAACAACAAAAACAAACATTAAAAATAAACAAAAAAAGCACAATATGAAATGAAAAGGAGCAGAGAGAAGAAAATAATCTTATAATATCTGCCTCCAATTAAAACAATATCCAGAAAAATAACAAAATATGCATCAACAAAGAAATAAAAACTACTATTTTTTTCATCCAATGAACAGTTGAGAGAAAACAAACAAACAAAAAAAAAAACCACAAGAACAAATGTAAATTATTCAAACAGACTTCCCATAACTTTTCAAAAACAAAGTTTTGACCCTTTTTTCATTCTGGTTTAAATCATTAAACTAAACTTTCCATCTTTTTATTTTCTTCTGTTATTATCTGGATGCTCAGATCGAGAAGCGGATGGAACTGGTCCGCCTGGTGTCGCACAACACGCACAAGAAGCTGGTGTCCTGTCTGCAGGGTCAACTCGGCTCAGATACGGAGAAGAGACACGTGAGAAACTTCTTCAGCCGTCGTTTTATGCACTTTAATATGTTGTTTGAAACAAAAAAAAAAAAAGAGATTCTGTCCCGGATTCATAGATTAAAGCACAAAACCTTCCAGCACTAAAACTGTAATGCACTTACCACATTACATGGCCTTCTTACGCAACACACAGATAAGGCTCGGGAGGAAAATATTCGGCTCTGACTCTGTGCCAACTTCCTGCCTTCAGTCCTTTCAGCCATAAAAGCTGGTGACATTCTGGAGAACCTAACCTTCTGCCACACCTTTAACACCTTTTCTATCATCCAGACCATCCATCCATCACTGTTACTTCTTTGTGCAGCAATTCTCAGTTCATGTTCTTTAAAAACTTTTATTTTTTTTCTTGGTGCAGAAAAAGTTGCCGCTGACCTCGCTGTCCCAGGCCATGCAGGAGGGAGGGGGTCAGCTGGGAGATGAGAGTCTGATTGGGTAAGACTAATTTGAACAACCAGCTGTACATTCCAGGCTTTTCAAAGGACAGAATTGTTGCGCTTTGGGTTAAAACTTAAAAGTAACATTTCTGTGYAGTTTAAGGCAATTTTGCAATATTTCACGTGATCTATTTTGCAGAATAGACTAAAGTTGAACTTGAAATGTTCAGTCACTGTGAGGAAACAGAYGGTGGTCATGTTTGCACGTATTCCTCTGTGCATGCAGGAAGATGATGGAGGTGTGTGGGGAGGCAGAAAGCCGGTTAGCCTCTGAACTGATGCAGCATGAGGTGCATATTGAGAAAGAGGTTCTGGATCCTCTCAACCAGCTGGCAGAGGTAAAACATTATCACTCTTTTCACTCATTCCTTGTGTGCTCACTAAAACTGTGGCATGGAGCTGTGAAGTAGCTATGAGTATTTAGTATCTTACCTGTAGTAGGGGTGCAACAATACATGTACCCGTGTCGAACAGTGCTTTAGGTTCAACACACACTTGTATCGAACAATACAGATTTTTTAAATTTACTTTATCAACTTGTCTTCTGAAGACGCTCTGTGTTGAAGGATCAGTGGATCTGTGTTCGACTAATCCACCTAGGCTGCATTTTTGAGCGCAGATCCACTGAGAAACTTGCTGTTTCAGCAACATTTAATTTAAAAACTGTACTTTTGAGGTTAAACAAATGTTCATAATTAATTTAAATAAATTACAAGTTAAAAGGGGCATGGAAATTTCTCTTTTTTGTATCGAAAAAATATCGAACCGTGAGACTAAAGTATCGAACCGAACCGAATTGTGAATTTTCTGTATCGCTGCACCCCCCAGTAGGCAGAAGTCTTAATGACCTCTTGAGCTGTTGAATGTTGTGGACTGCATTTAGAACCTGTAGTTCCTTCAGCTGCTTCCTGCCAGWAAGGTTAGCAAATTCACCAAATGCATCAGGTAGGTCACATGTGTCAAATTCAAGGCCCGTGGGCCAAATGTGGCCCGCCACAGCATTTTGTCACCCACAAGAGCTTCAAAGATGTATTAATGTCTTAAATATTTTAAAGCATATGCTGCTTTAAAGCCAGCATGGACCATAAACTACGTCTCCTATATTGCGTGTGGAGTATTTTCCCTTGCAAAATGGTGGCATCTCATCACTAGGTGGAGGGTGCACAGGGTTCAAAAGTAGCCGGCAACCGGCGAAATCTGCCGTATAAAATCTCCATTTTGCTGCATTTTCATCGGCTACTTCAGTGTTTATAAGAGGATGTGTTAAAACGCTGTTTTTGTGCACAAAATACCACATAGAGCTCACTTAATGTTTGCTCAGTTGTAGCAATGAGACAAGGAACTTGATGTTTCACGTTTAGTCAAAGTTGATTACAACTGGCCCTTTAAGGGGAACCGTAAAGCTCGTGTGGCTCTTGGTGAAAATAAGTTAGAAACCCGTTGAGATAGTTGTTTTATTTAAGTTATCGTATGTGATCACTGATACTTTAGGTCTATAATGTAATTGGTACGATGAAGCATTTATTTAGAGTTTTTGCTCTGGACAGCTCAAAATAAAACAAAAAAAGGAACATCATTTTGCCAACATTGCCACTTCTACATTATCGTCACACTGAAGCTTGTCCCCAGCAGAAACCACCAACTCTAAATCCTTTAATAAATGGTTCGTTCTTTGTATATTCTTGCATGATTCCCCAGAAGTAATTTTTACTGTTCTGTAGCTGTTTTGAAATAAAAAAAAAACCCATCAGTCCTGTGAGTTTTGGCTGATCAGGTGGACTGATTTGAGTAATCAAGTGGATGTTGTTCAGTTTGAGAAAATGTTATAAACTAAACAAATGGTCTTGTGTAAAAGTGTTGTGGTTTAAAACCAACCACAATTAGCGTCCACTCACTCTAATATGGCATTTTTAAGTTTCAGATGTTATATAAAAGGAACTACATTAGAAAACAGGCTCCAGTTTGACTTTTTCTCTAGGATTTTATCCCTGTTTCTACACATTTACTAAGGTTTTTGTCTGCTACAGGTAAGGTACTCACAACTGAGTACTTTGGATTAAACAGATTTTACTGCCAACATATTTTTTTCAAAGTAACAAAATGTTCTCAGA